CCCATCATAGAAGAGAAAGACAATTTGCACAGAATTATGATGGAAGTTGAACCGTTGCTGGGAGCCTCAGGGTATCGGACCTGAAAGAACATATTGAGGACCCATGGGGAGTATCCTAGTCACTGCTTGGCGCAGACGTTATGGTACCCCAAACGCGGGAATCTGATGTAGGTATGGGACGTGGAAGAGTTTTACTCTACGGGGTTACCGATCAGAATCAACAGTTGTCAATCGTGGTGGTTAGTGCCATGCTGGCAGTAAGGTGGTTGAAGGCTAATGCGGACACAAGTGAACAGGAGACGGCCGTGCCGACTCCTGAGCAGCTGAGTAACGTAAAGATGAGCCGCAGACTGGATCTTTTCAGAACCACCTGCAAGGTTCTGAGAATACCCAAAGCCATTGAAAGAATATGGTCAAGGCAAAGATTGATGCCTTGGTTCCGTGCAGTGATGACGTCATGGATGTATGAACGCGCGAAGCGTCACATGTCGAGGAACACGGAAGCCTATCAATCTTTCCAGCTAGATATAGGACCGGGAGCCTATAAGAGAGCATTTCTGACGCACAGAAACGCGGTCACCACGGCGGTGAAGCGAGTAGCTGGAGCGCCTTGTGTAACTGAAGATGAAAAGAAAGAGGTCTTACGAGCTGACCTAGAACGGAATGTGAGCCTGTGTCTTCACAACAGCTATTGCAGGAATCGGGAGCAAAAGGTGAATGTGGACTTGCTACCTTGTTGCAAACTGAGGCTGTTGGAATAGGAGAGTTGGGGCACGGCCCGCAACTCTATGGACATGTTAGAAAAAGTTCTGGAAGACAGTGACGCTGAAGATCAGGATGGAGAAGCAATGGAATGAAGATGATGGAAGGAAGATGATAAGTGAAGACGTGAACAAGAAAGGAAGAGAAGGAAAAAAAACTTGATTGTCTTTGTGGGTTAAAACTTGAACTAATCAACCTAGTTTGATTATTGAACTTGTATAACTTTTTGTTTTGATCTAGTTTGGTCAGACCAAACTTTGGAAATTGTTGCAATTGTTAAAATTGTTGAAATCGTTGATTTTATTTATGACTATTTATATATATATGAGGGATATAGGTGAGTATATTTACCTATTTAATCACGACTGAAGTTTTTAACCTGTGTAAATCACATATTCACTGTGTGGCGACGTGGTAAGTTTGGGTAAGCTCGCTCGGAAAGGGTGAGTAACTCAATAACTTTCCTAGCCACAGAGTTTCTTAGTTTTCATATTGAAAGGACCGCATAAATAACTGATTATACTTGGTGAGTGACGTTAAGTTAATTTTAACGGGTCCCAACTTTTTAATCACAAAGAGCGAAAAGAAGTTTTATGGCAAGATGACGTAAATAGTCAGAAAAGAAATTTTATCTAGGACACTCCTCATGATGCAAATTTTGTGAAAATGTTAGAAGGCAGTGAGATGTATTACGATGCCATTTGTGACACGCAGTGAGTTGAGGTGGAGTAGATAAATTTCATTTTCTAATGCGATTTGTAAGATCAATTATAGAGAACTGGAGTACTACTTGACGATAACCCGGTGTTATGCGATCAATAGGGACATTGATGGGAACTTGTCCGGGGAGTATGTGCCATTCTGCCAGATTGGCACAGCGCAACCTTCCGGCGGGACAGAAAACGATGACTAAAGGCCTTGGTAATAAAAAAATGCTGCGAAGGAGGGTTGAAATATTCCGGAAGTTTAAATTTTTAAAATTTTGATTGACGGGCAAGTATTTCTGAGAAATACAATAAGACGGCCATTTTGACGAAAAAGAACGAAAAAACAAAACAACGACAGATATAGTAGAAAACAGTCGCACGAAAAAACGAAAAAAACGAAGCCTCTTATCGTGGCAATAACACACGATAAGATCCTTAGCAGTGGAAATTATTGGGAAAGGAAGCTTCAGTGGGGAAGGAATATTCCGCGGAAACCTCCCGTGCCACAAATTGGGAGAGATAACAACGTTATCTCGAGAAGAACACGGGAGCGGAAGCTTGGCCCCCCAGAGACTATATGTTGAAGGACTATATAAAACTAACTTTATAGCTGCTCGGATGCCATAGAACTTTGAATTAACACCGGTATAACTTGATATTTTAGAATATGAGTAGCTAGAAAGAGGAAAGGGTCAATCCATCTCCAATGGATTTGATATAGAACTGTCACACAAAAACATAATAAAATAGGGTGTTCGAGCCGTGTTTTTAATAGCAATCACGTAGTCTGAGGATCCGAGACTCAGCTATGTGGTTGTGTTAGCATGTAAACGAAAGCTGATCAAAAGTCGTTTGACTGATGGCCTAAAAATAGCAACTTTTTACTTAGCCCTAAACAGACCAGAAAATCAACTGGCAAGGTCGAGACGGTGAAAAACGAGTAGGATTAAGATAACTGACGCCTGCCGGTCGTTAATAGGTACTTTTTCTACGCTCCGTCGCTGTGTAGTATTTAGGCGAAAGTTACACTGGAAAATTCAATCAGACCCGGTTATCATTGTGGATGATCAAAAGGCCAGCAATATAGGATGCAACATACTACCACAGACAAGTATCAGGTTGATCCAAGAAAAACATAAACAAAATGTGTTAAGCGTACGCGAACAAGAAGAATCGGATCTAGAAATTAAACAATGGGTCAAAAAAAATTTTCAACAACTGCGCATACGTATCGGAAAATCGAAAAATCACATGATGCAAACTCAATTCAACCACGACTTCATGCCAATACAACAGAAAGGACGACGTATCCCGGTGCACCTACTGAAAAGAGTTGAAGTAGAATTTAAAAACTGATGGATCAGAACCACATTATCAAACCAGATAAATGTTCAGATCGACAATTTATTAGCCCAATTGCTGTAACAGTGAGAAAGGATCGCGTTAGATTCTAAGAAAATCAACAAATTCACGCACAAGAACAAATACCAAATGCCCAACATTGAATTGCTGTTGGACAATAATACACAGGTGGTAAATCAGACAAACCCAAACAAACACTATTCTCAACACTCGACCTTCACAAATCTCTTTAGATAAAACAATCAAAGAACAATGCAACTTTAGTCTTATTGGTGGTAACGGCACTGAGGCCTATCAGTTTCAAACAGGATTTTATGGCCTCACGGATATGCCAGCTGAATTCCAAAAAGCGATCGATCTAACTCTTACAAAGGTACCAACACCTATGCCTTTTTGGACGATAATCAAATGGTAACAAAAGGATCTTTGGATCTACACAAACAAAAGTTGCAATCAATTCTGAAAAAAAACTGGACGAGGAAAATCTTGCGATATCATTGGATCAGTGTAAGTTTGCATGCAAACAAGTTGAGTGGTTAGGATTCACAGTTAATAGCGAGGGAACAAAACCTCTATAAGAAATACTGAGGCCATCGAAAAACTATCACCACCAAAATCTTTTAAACAACTAAAAAGCTTTATGGGTTCCATACATCCTCTCACACGATATTTACCAAAATTGGCACAAACCGCTGCCGCTCTACGCCCATTACTAAAAAACACAGAAAAAAAAACAAACCACTTTACTGGTCCACTGAACATAACACAATGTTCAAAAACATATTAAAATTGGTCACTGAAATAACACAAAACAAATATTTTGAGCAACACCTTGACACTCGCATCGTATGCGATGCTTCTACTACAGGATTAAGAGCTGCACTGGAACAACATTCGCCAGAAGGATGGGTCGCCGTAGCTTAGGCTTCACGTTTCTTAAACTCAGTAGAGGAAAAATATTTTGAAAAAGAACCCGAATTATTAGGGGTCGTGTGGCCAATTAAACATTTTAAATACTATCTGTATGGAAAACATTTTACCGTCATCACTGATCATCAAGCTTTAATCAGCGCTTTAAACGCAAGCGAAAGATCAAAAACAAGTCAAAGCCGGCTCATACGTTGGATTGACCGATAAATTCCGCAGGGAGTAAATTGGGATTAATTGACTACATGTCCCGAAATGCGGTAGGATTAGCATTACCCCCTAGTGAGCATGATGAGGAGTTTGTTGTAGCATCAATTAGGACATTCATGAATAACCTGGAAATGATTGACAACGTCATTCGAAATAATCTGGCCTATCAGATTCAGTAACCTTGAATCTGATTAAGTGTAGGATCCTATTGATAATCACAATGTAAATTACAAACTTTTGATAATTTTCAAAAATTGTGAAAAAATGGGTCATTTGCTTATCCCCCCCCCCCCTAAATCATGAAGTTTTAATTTTTAAGCATTTAAGGGGAGGGGCGGTTACAACCGGAAAGACTCAAAAAATATGAACAAATTGTGTCAGTCAGTTCAGTGTATAAGTAAACTGCAAAGCAAAAAGAGAAAACTCTACGAGCTATCTTCAGGCAAGATCAGCGTTGTTTTCTTATTCAAACTGATTTTTAGTCAAATCTTTTAGTCAAACCCACAACAAAGTTAGCACTTTCAGCGTAAAAAAATACCATTTGAGCATTGATATTGCTCTATAGTGGAAATAAATATTGCTCCGTGTTGTCTACACCTTAGATTTTAATAGAACATCATATTTAGAGATGCATTGCATTTGTTCAAATCCTTGGAAAATTCCTCCCAGTTCTCCCGCAAGAAGAATTAGGTGTACTGTGTTCTGTTGCGTTTCCAGGAAGGATATTCAAATTGTGGCAAAAAAAACGAATTCAAAAACGATTAGATTATTATTGGAAAATCAAAAGTGGTGTCAATTAAAAACGAATCTTTGAACAATTTGTTTAATAAATTATTGGAAACTTCTTCTGACCAAATAATCAAAAGTGAATCTAAAAAAAACTAACAATTTAGTTTTTCAGCTCGTTACGACTGCCCGCTGTAAAACCTTTTAATAGGATTTAATGGCATTTTTTCCTGGAGATATGTTTTGGGGCCTTCGAATAACGCTCGAACTAAAAACTAATTTATAAAAAAAGGAAAACAAACTTACGTGTTGTTTCTCTGGCTAATGTTACAGACTCTAAAACCGCTACAATGATAACTAAAACTGTAAAGCTTTTCATCGTTCTGTAAATCAACCTACAAATTCAAAATATGGGTTTTAAAAATATTTTTTTATCTTTTTTTTTTCGTTTGAGCAGAAACCGCGCAGCTGATTTGCAGGAAACGTAGTTTTTATATTGGCTGAAAATTGCTAATTTTTAAAGCACAACAAAAAACTCCAAAAAAACGCTAGTCTGATGGATAAGTTTATTTTAACTAACTGATAGCAACTAGATTTTACTAATTATGGCGTCGAAAAATAAGTAATTACAGCGGGACTATTAATTAAACTAAAATAGCACCCTGTCTTATGAATCAATTTTGCTCCCACGTTTTCCGCCTTTTTTAAATTCTGCTCGAAATCAAGATGATATCAATTTTGCTTTTTTTTCTAGTTTCCGGCATTCGAAACAAAAATAGACCAATATTTTAGGCAAATAGGGGTAAATTGTACCAAGATGCTGAAAACGAGCTCTAGCTTTAATCAAAATTGACTATTTGGGCAACCATGAATTGAAATAAATCGACTCTTGATTATTTCGTTTTCACAAATTTGATGGATGAGGTCGAGCGGCAACGAAAAAAAAAGAGAGGGGGAAAAGGTAGACTTCAAATTTTTTAACAAGTAAAACTTAATTTCTCAAACTGTTTTCTCAATTTTTGCTTTCAATTTTTTTAGTTCAAACTATTTTTAGATCGTATACACAACTGATGGAAAATTGGCTTTTTGTTTTTTTCCCGTGCCTCATCGGAAGTCATAACTCGCAAGGAAAAATTGTCATGAAGCTGATGCAAGATGTGACTTCTGTAACTTCTCAGGAAATTGAAAAACTGACCATCGCATTTCATTTTTTCCGCAAATGAACTTGAACATTTATATCAGCCGTTCTGATTAATCGTCATTTCAAATTTTTCAACAATTGTGGTGTTAACAAATAAAGTAGTTTTTAATAATTTTTACGGCATGTAAAAAAATCGGGAACTAAAAAAGTGAAATTTAACAAGAGTTTAAAATTTTACACGCAAAATTAACAAATTGGGTCTATCGGTAAAAACTTTTGAAAAAAAGGAAAATAATGATGTATTGAGTATTATTAGCATGTGTTGACCTCCATTGGCGACAAAACAGCCTATTCCTATAATTCCATAAACAAGTCTATGAGAAAAAGCGATGATGTATCAACAATTAAAAGAAGTTTATTCATGTTTTGGCATAGAAGTCGTTTTTTGTCATAAAAAAAGAAAAACTTTTGGCAAAACAGTAATACAACTTCATGGATATTGTATGACTACCATTTTTTGATAGCGACTCCAGACCTTTAATGAGAAAGAGTATTTGAACAAAAACTTGCACAAAAAAAACTTATTTTTGTGTGCAAAATGTAGACCCGGATGCACAAAATCGGCTTACTTTTCTGTTTCTGTGTTTCTGCTTTCCAAAAACGTTCCAAAAGCCTATTTTAATCACTTTTCATGATTTTGCAAACCAACATTTAGCAGTTTGCTACCTGGTGATGTTGTTAGATCATTTTGTTATATGCTTAGGTGGTTTCCGATGCATTGAGTTGCCAGAGTCTTTATCACTTGTTTCGGTTGCAAACAAAACCCAACAATTTTGAGACGGAACTTAATTGGAAAAAAAAACAATTTTTTGTTTAAGGAAAAATTGCCAGGCACCAAATGCAAGTAATTAGATTTATTGACACTTTTCTCGCACTTTGAATTCTTGAAAACAAAACCCAACTATTAAGAAGAGAAATCATAAAGGTCAAAAATAATTGACCGAATTCAGTCTGACTATTTTTTGGTTTCGCATGATTTTGGTGATAATTTGTGAGAAAACAAATTTTTTTCTGAAAAGATTTTCTGAACCTTAATTAACTTTATAAATAATGAGGTTATTGAAGCCATTCTTTCTGCAGTAATTAGCACTTATTCGCTGGATTTTGAAAATATTTTCCCTTAAGTTGGATTGCTTTCTTCGCGCGTGTTTTCGTGGTTTATCAATTTTCGATTGTACGTTGTGCTGAACAAGCTTTAATGTTGTTATTCGTATTTTTTATCATCCTGTTAGAAGGAACACGAAAAAAAAAATGGAAAAACTGCTTTTTTTTGGACAATAAACAATGAGGACAAAAAGTTTGAGCAATTGCAAGCACTTTTATGGTGCAATTTATTTTGCGAACTTTTGAAGCAAAGTAACACCAGTAAAATTTTTGATTTGCTTAGAGCTGAGGACATGTTTAGGGCTGAGGACATGGTTTGATATTGCTTTCGCTTAGAGCCGCCTGATTTAAATTAAGTTGGCCTCCTCTCCCCTGCATTGATTTTCAAAAACTAACTTTTGTGTAGATGTTGGGTAGTTTTGTAGGATTTTTGTGGGACTTTTTCTGCCAACTTTCTATCTTTTTTTTGAAAAAAAAAATATTAGTGAATGAGCTGAAAACAATTGTTTTAATGAGTTTTTTTTGCAAAAAAAGAAGAAAGAACCTATTTGTTGCAGTGAATTCTCTTAAACAACCAAATGTGCATACAACTAAAATTTTAATGAGCGGGGTTTGTTTAGTGCAGATGTGTCATAATTTGTTTTTCAAATAGTCTAAGAAACTCTCAATATCACTAGGAACTACATCAAAAACACAGATGTCATTGGAGAAAGTCAAACTTGCATCAAAAAATGATCAACAGAAATAACGAGTAACTGTGTCAATTTGTGTTTCTATGGACATGGTTTCTGGTGAATCGTGACCGAAAGTCTATGTAACTGGATTTTTTTAAATTAGGTATGAAGATAAATCTGGCAACCGAATCTTTTATTTCAGTTTTATTTTTTTTCCAATTGTCTACCTTGCATTTGATCTCTGCTCTCTTCTACATGAGTTCATCACTGCGGTCACGTTTGATTGTCAATACTTTTCTGCCGTGCCGTATACGTGTACATCTTCTTTTATTATGTTACCATTTGGTGTAGAGCCAGTGAAGTATCGCCAACGTTTGTTGCATATCGTTATTTCAAGCGTTGTAAGATAAAACTGGGCTATGGTCGTTTGATTGAAGTTGTTTGGCTTTCTTTGTCAAATTTTTGAGCGACAGTTTTCTGTGAAGTCTTGAGAAGTAGTATTTTTCTCTTGAAAAAGTTAAGCTTTGGTCAATATTCACAGTGGTTTCCACTACACATGATTTTTGGACCATTTTTGTATCTCAAAATCGAATAAACCGATGTGGATTAACTGGAGGGATGAGGCAAATCTGAAGTTTTAACCTAGGAAGTGTAAACTTAAGTGTATTTGACTTACATGCAATTGACTTACTCTTCTGAAATAGTTTCTAATTTGGAAAGAATGATTCAAGTTTTATGATGAAAAAGTGTTTTTGTTTTTTTTTCGTCTTTTTTTTTAAAAAATTGTTTCGTTAAAAACTGTACAAGACGACATATTCTGCGGATAGTTACAAAAAATTTAGACAATTCAAATTAGTTTTTATAACAGACTTTGGTTCTGTTACTCCAAATTTTAAAATGTATTGATTTCTTGTCATTGGTCAAACTCTATTTTAAAACTCGTAACTCACAACAACGATTCTTAGATAGTTTCTTTGTAAAGATTGGTCTCAGATCATCAATTATTTTAGGTGGTCGGAAAATTGCTCACAGAAAACAACAAAATCTCACTTAACTATCAATTGAGGCTAAGAAATCGAAATATCTGGCCGAAATGTTTGGCCGAAACATTTGCTGTCAATTATTTGCTCTGAAATTTCTAACTTACTTTTGACGTTTCTGGAGTAATTATCTACTTAACACATGTTCCAAATATTTTTCTACGGGTAGTAAAGCTGTCCTCCGTTCTGTAAAAATGGAATTAGTGCTTTCAATTTTTTCAAAAGTTTGGGCTGGAGTTTAGAAGAATATTAATACAGTAAATTTCAAAGAAAAACGGAACAGTGTTCTCAAAAAAAAAATCCCTAAAAGCATTGATTTAGAGAACATGAATACAAATGAATTTCTACTTCGTTAATCCCAAAAATTGCAGAATGGTCAAGTTACAACTTTTTAAAGTTATTTACTCATAGAGGGCATGTCTTGTTAAAAATGAGGAAATTGATAATTATGATATAATTATCATAAAAATAATCATAAAAATTATATTAATAATCATTACTATATTCATAATCATAATAAGATTGAAATAAACCCGCAAAGCGGAAACTAGTTGCTCTTAGTCATTGATAACAAAATTATTAAAGTAAACTTAAAAACCGTGACTCTGGATAAATCGTGCAATTGAATTTTTGTAGTTAGTCAACCAATAACAGCCTCAAATTCTTTCTAAAGATTACAGGTTACTAAAAAAGATTATAGCCAGCAAAAATGTTCGATCTCGCGAGGGTCTTTGACTCTTCTGCGACACGGTAAAGGAAATTTTCACAAAGTTTGCTTCGTGTTATAATTGGCACGCCCAAAAATGTCTTGTTTACCGTTCGGTTTGAATCATGGCTCTTGTCGATTTTCTAAAAATCAAGAAAATTTATCGGCTACTCGTTATTACGACTTTTTTTCAGCATCATTAATTTAAAAAAATTGTCAGTGAATTTGGAAAAAGTTTGCTTTTATTCAAGTAAAAACTATAAGCCTCAGTATTCAATTCATGTTTTTTGCGTCTTCGTTGAAATTTTTCTCTTCCCTTATATTAAATTTTAGTCGCAAGCCAAAGTGGAGATTCATAAATTTTTTTTGATAGTATGCAACTTTTTAAAAGCGAAACCCGAACAGCGCTACTCACTGAGTTTTGTGAAGATCTTCTATTGTAATTGAATTGGATATTTGCTTTTTATGCCTTTCGGTGATTTGGTATACCCATGAAATCTTGAAACTGCACCAAACACCAAGGTCTTTCAGCGTGTTTTTAAAACTATGTGTTCTCCATCAACAGATAAAAGATTGCTTAAAGGGTATCGCTTGTTTGATTTCTGAAATCTAATTTGTTGAAATTTGTCAAAACTGAAGCCAACGATGCTTGGACAAAACTGATCGTTTATTTTTTATTGAGAAGCAAAACCTTCGATGACGTTGCAAAAAATCAAGGACGCAAAAAATTGAGATAGCAGCGAGTTTTGCCAGTGCAA